TTTATCCCATCGTGCTTTTATCAATACATTTCTGAGCATGTGCAGAACATGCCGAAACACACCAACGATCCCAGTCAGGCATGCAGTGCAAAATCAGTGACCATTCTGTCTTGTACTCATGCAAGTCCTTGATAAAAGTAGCATGATAAATTTATTAATACAACAATAATTTATATATTTAATTTTTTTATTACATTAGGAGTAAATTTCCATGTTCTATACAGCACATAAAAAACATTACTGTTAAATGTGGCTTATTCACATGTATTTTTGCAAGTACAATGATATTCCTTGTGGAGATGGTAACCTAGAATGCATTTTGGCATAAAAACAATTTGACTGCTACTGTATTATACAAAATATGTTGGTAATATTTCTTCCTCTGAATGAGTAATGAGCATTGGGTATTTGTGTGCTGCTACCACTGTATTGGAGTTTGTGTTCTGTGTACTACTAGTTATATTTCTAGACCCAAACATAGTACTAAATGTGAACAAACAGCAAAGGTGACTGAAGACAAGCAACCAGAATGCTATGGTGAGTATATGTATTGCAATCAATGATTTCTTTTATATTCACAATTACCCATGTTATAATGATGAAAGGAATTTGTATTGTGTTGTGTGTTGTGAGATGCTGAATCAAACATATACAGTATTCTCAAAACCTGATTATATATACTGTAGTTTTTTTTGCTTAACATTTCTCAGTAGTTTTTAAAGACTTAATATACGATCGAGTGGAAACCCATTCTTACGACACTCTGTTTCAAAAGCTGTGATTTGTAAACATGAAATCATTGTAATGATCTTAAAATGCTTACGGCAAATCATGTTTTCCATTTTCATATTGTAAGAAAAATTCCAATTACTGTACTTGCATAGTATCTGAAATATAAAATATTGTTTGCATGGCGAAGTAATGATATATTAAATGATATCGGTACACTACATAGATAATTCTGAAAAGAACTGTTTTGTTGAGAATGTTTTGATTGAGATACTTCAGTTGTTATCAGGAGAAAAGTACATGCAATGAGTCCAAACAGGGAAATACTTGTGTGTTGAAAGCGAGACTTGCTGCCAAGTACTGTATACATTGAGCTAAGGCGTATAAGAGAGAACTGTGACTAGATTCTAGACTTATTTTATACCACTTTTTTAAAGCTGTTGCATTTGGAAGGTCTGCTTAAAACACATTCCTAAATAAAGATATATGTTATGACATATTTGCCATATCTACAGTTTTCAAAGCACTGGGCAGGGTCTCCAATCTGAAGTTCTTCAGAGCAGGGACATCTGCTTCTTTACAGATTTAATAGGCTTTTTATTACTTTAATAATAATTTGCATATCATGAATATTCATATCTGTATTTAACATAACCATCAAGTGTTTTTTTTTAATGCTGTTTAGCGATTGAAGTTTCAACTTCATACACAAGTAATTAATTTCACATACTGTTGCTCAGCTATCATGTCAGCATACAGTTGACGCATAAAGTATCTTGTACAATACTGTAAGGTGAATGCATGATTGTGAGTTTCAGGTGACAATAGTTTACCATATCTCTTTGTACGACAATATTTGGATACTTAGCTGGGCTGTTTATTTTATCCAATATGAATGTGAAGTCATAAAAGGCATGAACACTGTTTAGTGATTCACAAGTGATTTTATAGAGTATTTCATTTTTGAAATGCACTTTTTTTTTTCCAACTAGTGGTTGTGTTTATCTTTAACAATGGGAAGTGACTGATTGGAATGTAGTTGTCGATTTGTGAGTTGTTTTGAGAGGATTAAAAAAAAAATTATTGTTTGCTATGAACTGAAAGACAGAAGTGTGTCGTGGTGTGTTGTGTGATGGACATGCTTTTATGTGAACCTTGCTAATCTTGATCAATTGAACATTTTCCCAGGTGGTGTTAGTTGCGGTTTCAGCATAGGATCTACCGCCATCACTTGCTATTGTCAACGGTTGGTGGAGAAACAACTTTGATATATCTTGACTAACTTACTGGTTCTCAAGTTGCATGGTAAGAGGGATTTTTGTGTTTAGATTAAGTAGTAAAAATGAATGATGTTATTCATAAGTAGAAAAGAATATACAGTTAAACTTGCCTATGTCAAATCCAAAATACCATTGAAATATTGTTTGACTTGGATAAAATTTGACTTACAGATTGTTAATTAATGGAAAACACAACAATTTGGCATGTAAGATAAGATCGATTGAGAAATGATTTGACTTGGCCGCAGTCGAGCTGTAAATCTAATATTGTATTACTTGCCATTAATGCTGGATGCTGTTTCATCCAGTTGCTGAACTTTTTAGACAATTGACCCAGTGGATTGGTCACACGTGGATGTCAATAAGATAATTCACAAATTGTTTTCTTATCTAGAAAAAATACAAAGTTAATTATCCTATTGTATTGTTTAATATCTTGTTTGATTATTTAAAGTCTCAAATAACCAGGCATTCAAATATTACATTAAATTGTTCGGACAATATAATGAAATGATGTGATTGTTCCTTAAAGAAACTGCTTGTTAAGCGTGTAATTAATGTGTAACTCTTGTTACAGAAATGATGGAAGGATGCAATGATTGGACATCCTGAAATATGGGCATGAAATTCTGGAAGGCCTACAAATCGAATGTAAACCTATGAAGTGTATCGCCAGTGCAATATTCTGTGATACCGGTGACTAAGCTAAGACGAGCAAATTATCTACTCGCTATGGAATATATATTTTTATTGGGACAACACGTAATGATGTTACAAACTAAATATCTAGGTTTTACAAGACCTTTTGTCACATTCCATAAGTGACAGTATTTTTTCTTTTGTGCAATAACTTGTGATGTTTATTTAGAACATTACTACCACTCAACAATCTGTTGAATGTTAAAATAACTAATTGAAAAACAAGTTGCAGTATTTGTTTTGATTTTAATATTGAGGTGCCAGTATGTCCGATGCAATAACAGTAAACCAAATACAGTATTCATACTAACATCTGCTATAGTATATTTTTATATAGTATATATTTTTAATTTTTTAAATCGGAAATAAATGAAATGTGATGATGAAAATAACATGATAGTCAGTTTATTTTTTTATGTGAGCAGATATGGGGAAGATAATAATAATTAATAATAATACAGTAATTATACTTTATTGGTCCTCATTTCAATTTTGCCTGTGGACCCGCTGCAGCCGCAGCGCCACTTGAAACATTACGGACGTATAGATACAAACTTTGTCCTTAACCTGCCCAACTCTCAATATACCTCAGGGTTAATTCAGGAGCCAAGCGATCAGAATTCAATTAAAACAGACACTGGCAATGTTTGAACCAGGGTCTTCAGCAAATACCTCTCAACTGCTCCACTCAGACTTTCAGAATCTGCACATGCTGAAGGGACTCGAGTGATTGATTGGTCCATTTTGTTCCAGCGTGTGCGTAGGCCTGTGTGTGCTATGGGTACGTTTCAAAATAATCCTGTGTTGCATATGATTAGAACCCAGAACCCTGGAATTTGGAAGCAAATACCACAAAGTTAGATCTCCACTAACAAATCGTATCAAACCGTATGATTGTGAGCATTTGCAGACAGTGACACATCTAGGGGTGAACGGGACCACTCCTAAGAATATTCGCTACAGTACCCCTCGCCTAATCATCAAGCAGTCCCCCTCACTAATCATCAAATGTCTTCCATGTGACCTCTGCGTTCCTTTATCAGCCAGCCCCACACTCCCCCTCCCGATTTTAAGACTCTTGGGCCACTGTAGAGGTGAATTAACTTGCAGCTCCATTCTAAAAGTTGTTTGTTTACAGGATTTCAACAATTCATACAAGCTAGATAAAATACAAACATGCTTTCATTGATGAATGAGTGATTGTAATTTTTGGGAGAATATGTAATTATTCATTTAGACTTGCTTGTTTCTTCATTTTATATGAAATTACAAATACACAACTACTGTCTGTGAAATTTGGAAAATCCTCAAAGAATAAATTAAAACATTTGAAATAGAGACATTAAAACAATTCATTTCTAGTTGTCACAGACTACTATACAAAAGACATCACTGTACTGTGCACATTTAAAGACGTGCAGTGGGGTGGGGAGTGCTAGGGCTCCAAAACAAAGGGGAGAGGCGTACCATAAACCTACCCCAAAACAAAGCTTATTTAAATTCCATGTACAATACTAGTGTCTATGGTCAAACATGTCAAAACAAAAATCTCAAACAGCCTGCCTCCCACTCAGTGCTTTGCATAACCCCTACCCAATTGTTTCTCTGGATCCAACCCTACTCGACGTACAGTACTGTACTTCCATACAAAAAAAAAAACCCCTTAAATGTAAAAATAATTTAAATTAACTCGTTTAAAAGAACCGCATTATCAACTTTTCACAAATCAAAATCTTTAAATGACGGTTTAATAGCCTACGAAAATCCTTACATTTGCTGCCAGGAAAGACGAGGCGAAGACATGGTTTTTCCTTTCCGAAGATAATAACTTATTAAAATATGCAAAACGAATTCTTTCTTTTTTTACGACCAATCAATATTGTATTATCTGTAATGTACTGTGTTTGATTTATATAGCAGTTCATTTTTTATATTACCACAAACACCTGCAAAACATGTTATAGTTCACTTCCTACTATTAAATTCATTAATGTTGAATCGCGCTATTAGGTGTCACGAATTGTCCCATGCATTTCTGGCATTAGGCCAAACCAATTTGGTATTGATATTCTTCAGAGGGTCGTTCAGGTTCACATAATTTCGAAAAGATGGTTCCAAGACAATGATCTTAACTAAAAATAGGAAACTTATCACAATAAGATGTGACGCCGTTAAGATCTCCAAGGAGTGAATATATTTACTCAGTGTGTAGATTTATGCACACCGTGAACATGCAGAGTAAATAAAGATTCATGGTTTTAGATCTACGTAAATACGTTTCCGATATCAAAACAGTTTTGTGTTACCGTCGAGAACGGTGATTGCGTATACGGTACTGTATATAGTAGGCCTATACCTTATTGTCAACTTTGTCTTGGGATTTAATGAGATTTTTGTATATTGATATCTTCCGCTTCTGCACCTGGTATATTGTATTCAGAAATTAGGTAGAAGACTACGATTGATTCGCCCTTATCTTAGAATTCAAGTTTTGAATTCCTTTCTTTGGACATTTCTATAGCTCGATTTTTCACATTATCGCGTCTTAATTAAGTACAAGATAATTTTTATACTTCCCTGACTATAATCAATTGTGAGGAATACTGCGTGCGTGCACTTTGTAACTAGCGAGTGTGTCGTACATCTCTAATGACACGCCAGGATATTCTTGATATTTAATCGATGCCATACACGTAGAGGACTTATATTGAAGGAAATGTTGTTTGCATTCTATAGAGCCAACGACGCGTGTTGTACATGTTTACCTGCCGTTATTTGATACGGTCTGCGCTGAGTTTGTGTACCGCCAAGTGTTTGAAGTAACGATGGTGAACTAACACAGTCAGGAACAGCTTCATTTCATCAGTGATTTCTTTAGCCAAAGCTGTGCTGAAATATTAGGAATGAATTTCTCTTTCTCAGCAATCAACACACTAAATTAATATCTGAAACACACGACCGTTTAATACAATCGCTGCCGGAATTATCCTACACGATTGTGAAATATTGGAGTTTACTCCCTGGGAAACAAAAGGCTTGAAATACTCTGTCACACAAAGTGGACTTTATCAATACACGTTATACGCACGGAACGCCCTGCTTATACACGATGGATGATTCAACGGATAAATCTTCTGTAAGATCGCATTCCACTGTTGATCATCCAGTGTATGGACCAATATGCTACAGAAGACGAACACGGAAACCTTCCAGATGGTCCGTGGTCTCCAGAAGAATTTCAATGATGGGAGGAGGACGCAATGCAGCCATGTTCCGCTCTAGCAAGACTTCCACAGTCGTACCACCAAAACCTCGTTTGGAGAATACGTACAAAATGGATCCAGATACAGGTGCAGGATTCAAACACGACAAAGTCGAACAAGAAGTATCAGTTATCCTCGAACGAGTGTTGAAATACGAAGAGTATGACGCAAATTGTGGCAGACTAGCGGCCAGGTTGACAGAACTGATAAAATCCAAGATCAAAGAACTGCACTTCAGTCGCCATAAACTCGTAGTTCATGTGGTCATTGGGTCTCAGCAGGGTCAGAGCCTTGAGATCGCTAGCCAGTGTCTTTGGAACCAAAGCACGGATAATTTCTGTTCTGCCTGGTACCAAAATGGTACTTTATTTGCAATTGCTACGGTGTATGGTGTGTACTTCGAGTGAATGTTTTTTACAAGCTTAAGTCATTTTTTCTGTTCAGTAGGACTATTCCAATTTTAGTCGCATTGTTCTTAGACTGGGACATAGTGAACATTTTTAGCAAGAAATAAATATTTCGGCGCCTGTTAGGCCTACATTATTTTATACTTTGCACTGTACGGTATTCGAATCTTCCGAATATATTGGAATCAAATATTTACGGCGTTACAGATACATATTTCTTTATTGTCCAAAGGACGCAACAAAAAAATTAAAGAGACATACAGTACGCCTAGTGTATGACCCTAAAATATATTTTCCGGATATTAATTGCATAGCTTTTATCAATGTTCGTTAATTTGTAATCTGCGCCTCCGTTGATACAATACTGCGCTATTCGCTTGGTGTTGAAACTTTAAAAATCGAAAAGCTTAAATAATATTATCAATGGACATTCTACCTGCATGCACACGTTCAGTAGGACTTCTCCCATTCGCATTGTCTTTAGATTGGGAAATAGTGAACATTTTTAGCAAGAGATAAATATTTCGGCGCCTGTTAGGCCTACATTGTTTTATACTTCCCTGTACTTTATTCGAATCTTCCGTATAATTATTGGAATCAAATATTTACGGCGTTACAGATAAGATTTATTTATTGTCCAAAGGACGCAACAAAAAAAACATACAGTAGGCCTAGAGTGTGACCCTGAAATATTTTTCTGGAGAATAAATTGCGTAGCCTATATCAATTTGTTTGTAAATTTGTAATCTGTGCCTCCGTTGATACAATCTGCGCTATTCCGCTTGGTGTTGAGACTTTAAAAATCGATAAATTGTAAATATTATCAATGGACATTCCACCTACATCATACACTTCAATGCTCACCCATTCGAGGTCTGTCTCACGCTTAAAAGAGAACTAGCAAAATGATTTTTTGTTCTAGAGGAGATTTTTGATATGCCATTAATAATAGAATCAACATTAAAATCGTTTTTTGGCAAATGTTTATGAAGTTATAGGCCATTATATACGATTTGACCGTGACGTCACTGGCGAAAAAGTAATTTAAAAAATCGTGTAAATAGCGCTGCGTAGGGTATTTGCTGCGTACGATCTTTACGTGCATGCTGTAACCATGGTTGCTGTAACCATGGTTGTTGTAACTTGCATTAGGCCTATACCTGCATCAGCGGTTGTCAACAGAAGAGTTACAGCTATGGTTACAGCATGATTGTACGCGGCGGATACCCTACGCGGTTTTATTTACACGATCTTTTGTTACTTTTTTCGCCAGTGACGTCACGATTAAATCGTATATAATGACCTATAACTCCATAAGAAATTGCCAAAAATCGATTTTAAGGTTGATTATATTATAAATGGCATATCAAAATTCCCCTCTAGAACAAAAAATCATTTTGCTAGTTCTCTTTTAAGGATCACAATCTCACGCATAAAAAAATGTAATATTGCCTATAATAAAAAAAATATAATAATTTCTATAATATTCATCATAATGTACTTAAAGTAGGATTGGTTTTGTTATTACATTCGAACACAAATAAATGGTGCACTACACACCAGGGTTAAGTTGGTTTGGCTTTCTATGTTCGATCGTGAAATACTGTACGGCAGAAATATGCATTCTCAAGAAAAAAATCGTGATTCCTAACAAGGGGTCGGACATGTCCGACGGC